GCGAAATGTAGACAATACAAGGTTTTATCACTGGCGAAATGTAGACATACAAGGTTTTATCACTGGCGAAATGTAGACAATACAAGGTTTTATCACTGGCGAAATGTAGACAATACAAGGTTTTATCACTGGCGAAATGTAGACAACACAAGGTTTTATCACTGGCGAAATGTAGACAACACAAGGTTTTATCACTGGCGAAATGTTACAAAAAATGGCAAAGCTTTGATGCGTACTTCTTTTTTTAAACAAATCATTGCCGTGTCATGAGTAATGAAAAAGACAACACAAAACATGTAACACGCAGTAACAAAACCACTGGCGCGTTCAGAAATCTGAACACAACTCACATGTGGTGGGTATATCAGAAAGTCATTATGTAAATTTGAAAGTAATTGGCGGCTTACATTTTTTCTAAATTGATCTTTAAAATGTGTATACCTAAAAATGTGACTGAAAATATACATCATATTATGTATACATATATATATATGTGTGTGTGTGTGTGTGTGTGTGTGTGTGTGTGTGTTATAAAAGAATATGATATGAGCCATCAGTCAGTCAGCTATGCTCGGAAATTTATTTTCATAAGCTGTTTCGTAAATGCTCGCTGCTGAGCGGGCAGTGTGTTGTGCCTTTAGGCATCGTACACCTTCTGTGTGGGATGTGGCCGCGGACTGGGTGAACCACACACGCACGCGCGCGCGCGCACCCACACACGCCAGCTCACAGGTCGATGTTCAGACGGAGCCTGGGCCAGGTCTGAGCAGACGCACCGAACAACTCAATCACTTGCGATAGGAGGTAGCGGCCTCTGTCCTACTGTCTGACCAAGGTAAGAAACACGCGCATCGCGGGGAAAGCAGGTGCTCGTCAAGATAATGAAACCGAAGAAACCACCATTATATTTTATATATTTAGTTATTTACTTTTTAAAACTTATACTATGTATTTATACAATGTATGCAATGTTGATATACCCCGTGAATTAAGACCACGTAAATGGGGAAGGAAGGCAGGAGTGTGTTTCAGAATGAGGAGGAGATCTTTTAAACCTATTTTTTTCCCTACAATCCTAACTGGTCACGCAAGTTCATTAAAAAGTAAAATAGATGAACTCTGAGCAAACGTAAGGTTTCTACACCAGTACAGAGAGGTCTCGTTTATTTGTTTTAGCGAGACGTGGTTCAAGGACAGTGTTTGTTCCTACAGTGTGGACGTTGACCGATTCCATCTGGTGCTTTGTGACAGGACGATAGATTCAATATCTAGATGTCACAGGACGATAGACTCTACATCTAGTTGTCACAGGTGACAGGACGATAGACTCTGTATCTAGTTGTGACAGTACGATAGACTCTGTATCTAGTTGTCACAGGAGGATAGACTTTACATCTAGTTGTCACAGGACGATAGACTCTGTATCTAGTTGTGACAGTACGATAGACTCTGTATCTAGTTGTCACAGGACGATAGACTCTGTATCTAGTTGTCACAGAACAATAGACTTTATATCTAGTTGTCACAGGACGATAAACTCTGTATCTAGTTGTGACAGTACATTTGACTCCACATCTAGTTGTCACAGGACGGTAGACTCTACATCTAGTTGTGACAGGACGATAGACTACAGACAGGTCGATAGACTCTATACATCTAGAACGTTGTGACAGGATGACTCGAACAAATGAACGAGCCTAGGAGTGTGTGTGTGTGTGTGTGTGTGTGTG